CACGAGGAGATCTGGCTGCGCCGTCCACCTGGCTTCACTGGGTCGTTCCCTCCTGGTACCCAGTGGAGCCTCCGACGGCCAGTCTACGGTCTCCGCCAGGCGCCTCGTGAGTGGCACGACACACTGAGGACTACGCTTGCGGCTCCTGGGTTCGCGCCTTCTACTGCTGACCCGTCGCTGTTTCTACGCACCGACACCTCACTGCCGCCGTTCTACGTCCTTGTGTACGTCGACGACTTGGTCTTTGCTACTGCTGACACTGTGGCACTCGCCCACGTGAAGTCGGAGCTGCAGAAGAGACACACGTGCACAGACCTGGGTGAACTGACAAGCTATCTTGGCTTGCGGATCACCCGGGACAGAGCACGCCGCACCATCACCTTGACTCAGTCACACATGGTGCAGCAGGTCCTTCAGCGCTTCCGCGTCACGTACTCCTCGCCTCAGCCCACTCCTCTGCCTACCGGTCACTCGCTCTCAGCTCTGCCTTCGGATGAGTCCGTAGAGCCGAGTGGCCCGTATCCAGAGCTTGTGGGTTGCCTCATGTACCTGATGACCTGCACTCGACCAGACCTTGCATACCCTCTCAGCATTCTTGCACGCTATGTCGCTCCCGGCCGTCACCGGAAGGAGCACATGGATGCAGCTAAGAGGGTGTTGCGCTACTTGTGCAGTACGTCGGGCATGGGGCTAGTGCTTGGAGGGCGAGTCCCAGTTGTTCTCACTGGGCACTCAGACGCTTCTTGGGCAGACGACCAGGCTACTCAGCGGTCGTCTCAGGGTTACTCCTTCAGTCTTGGCTCTGGTTCTGTTTCTTGGCGTTCTACTCGCTCTTCTTCTGTTCTCAGCTCCAGTTGTGAGGCTGAGATCTACGCCACAGCCATGGCGGCCCAGGAGCTACGCTGGCTCACCTACTTGCTGACCGACCTTGGAGAGCAGCCTCGTTCTCCTCCAGTGCTGTACGTCGACAACAAGGCAGCCATTGCCTTGTGTGAGGAGCACAGAACGAAGCACATTGCTCTGCGTTACTTCCTCGCTCGAGAGCTGCAGCAGCGTGGTCAGCTTCGCCTGCGTTACGTGGCCTCTGAGGCCAACACTGCTGATGTGTTCACCAAGGCGCTTCAGCCTTGTGACCATCAGCGCTTTTGCACTCTTCTAGGCCTTGTGCCTACTGGACCTCACTTGCTTACTTCTTGAGTCTGTTGTACTGTGATCTCTATATATAAACCTGCATGTGAACTAGTCTTGTGACCACTTGCTTGTGCTCGGAATTTGTGTGGTATCCTTGAGATCCACCCTGAGCTTGTTTTGCCTTGCTTTGCCTTGACTGGTCTTGTGACCCCTAGTTCTCCCCCACTTTGCCTATGGGGGTGTGTCAAACATTATATATGTTGTGTTAGTTTAGGCTACAGTGGGTTAGCCTATAGGGGGTACACAATTCTAGGGTTAGGTACTTGTACTCTTTTCATTGCTAGTTCATTCATCCCTGTTCAGTGATTCCAACAGCTGTAACTCCTGCTGCTGCAACTCCTTATGCTGCAAATCCTGCTGCCGTTCCAACCCGCTCCAACCCCAACCTCTCCTCACGCTCGAGGCAAACAAGCTCCTGAAATCGTGTCTGGTAGCGGTGGGGAGGCGGAGTGGGTGCCATAGTGCCTCCAGCTCCAGTAACCTCAGAACTAGCACCTCTAGCTCCAGTGCCACCAACTCCAGCACCCCCAAAACTCGCACCTCCAGTGCTAGCACCCTCAGCTCCAGTACTCTCAGAGCCAGCACCCCCAGAGTCACTATTCTCAGTGCCAGCACCCCCAGAACCAGCAACACCAGGTCCTGTGCCTCCAGCACCAACACCCCCCGAGGTGTCTGCACCCTGTCGGGGTAACGTGAACGGCTGCCGCGGCAACTCTGCGGTCGACTGCGGAGAAGGAGGCCATACATGACGCGCGACCGAGGGGAGAGGGGTGTCGAGTGATAAGGGAAAGAGAGGATGGGTGTACCTATTGTATATTTGTATATAGTCTTCAGGGAGCGAGTATCGAGGAAAGAGGATTGGAGAGGTGAGAGAGGGCGGGGAACAAGGCAGCCGAAGGGTTGGCTGACCTGGCAACAAGGGAGGGAGGATGAGCTGGGAGGGAGTACACCTGGATGTCGCTGCTTTTGCTTTGTGTGCATGCGTGTGCTTGAGCATGCTCGTTGTTTGGCAGGTTGGTTGCCCGAGCCAGCTGGAATTACAAGCACGGGCTGGAGGCGTGTAGGAGGACGGCTAAGTGGCGGTGGGATGAGGAGGGTGGGTTGGCCCTTCGTCTTTGACAAAGGTCCTTCGTCCAGGAGCAAGGGTTGGAAGTAGATGTAGGCGGAGGTTTGCTGGGTCGTTATAGGGGGGTACGGGCAATTGATTCTGTACTGTTTGTATGTTCTGTGTTAATCTCACGAAATTGCATCATCGCAGGCTAGCGTGAGACCTCGGGCCAGTGCAAGGAGATGTAAGGTAGTTAAGGCAACGATAGGAGCTGTGAGTAAGCCGGGAGGGCTTATCACATACAAACTGTCTTGATGCAGATTGCATGCGCACGCGAGCAGGGACGGAATACGAGCTTGAGCCGACGAGTGAGAGTGGGGAAGAAAGGAAGAAGGAGGAAATGTGAGGAACGCATCAAGGCACGGATACGAAGGACGATGAGGGACACGGTCCCGAATCGCCCAGGCAAGAGGCTGGAGGGCGGGAACGGTCGGATCCGCAGGGAGGCGATTCGGCAGCGGAGGCTGTTGGAGGAAAGGGTTCGCGGTCGGGAGAAACACCGGCTAAGAGTGGAAGGGAGGGGCCAGAGACGGGCTCTTATCGACGCAGCGCGTCATGGCAAGAGGAGGCATCGGTGCAGCGCTGGAAATACACATTGCTGCCCAAGATAGAAGTGCCGGAACGCTTCCCAGGAGGCACGCGTCGGGGGCCCTTGATCAAGAACTACGTGATGAAGTTGGAGAACTTACGCGCGCGGTGGGAGAGGGATCGGCTGGACCCTGAGGAGTTTTTCCGAGGACTGGCTAATACGCTGACCGCGGAGGCGGAGACGTACAATCGCATCGCACGTCGGGAGCTGTTGGAATTGGCGGCCCGAGCTGTCCCGGGAGAACGAGAACCGATGACGAGGTTCCTGGGTATGCTGGAAGAACAGTTCCCGGCGCAGACTCCGGAACGAGTGACGGAATTCAGGGATTTCAGGCAAAGAACAGGAGAATCGCTGCTGGCCTACTATGGCCGTCCGGTGGAGCTAGCTGAGGATACGAGTTGCCACGATCAAGGAAGGCCCGTCAGCAAATTTCTAAATGGCCTACACTACGAACTTCGAAGGGACGTGCAGGTGCGAGTGTTCGACATGGGGGCACGCGCAACGCTGAAGGAAGCGTACGAGGTCGTGAAGCGGGTGGAAACGGGCCGTCGGATGTACGAGATTGAAGCGGCGCCGGAGAGGGGTGGAGGGCGCAGGCGGCCGGCCTGGTCAGCGACGCCAGCGGATCGGGAGCGACCACCAAGGAGGGCAGGGGAAGAGAGGCGATGCCACAACTGCGGGCAGCCTAGACATTTTCGTCGCGACTGTCGCAAACCACCGGCGTGCTCGATCCGCGGATGCGAAGAGCATATGAGGCGCGACTGCCCAGAAGCGCCGACCTGTGCTCGTTGTGGGCGCAAGGGGCATGCGGAAAAGGATTGCTACATGACAAATCGGGAAGGACGATAGAGACATGATCCAGAGGACATGCGCGCGCAAATCACAAGGCTACAACGGCAGCTGCAGGAAATGGAAGGGGCGGAGCCTAAGGGGACGGCGATGCTAGCGAAAGCGGAGGAGGAATAAGAGACTGATACCGAAGCCAGCTTTACGCTAATGGCACGGCCGGCAAGGGAGAGGGATGAGCTGGGACTGCGAGCGCGACACCGGTAAATCCCAAGGGAACAAGAGGCGCCGCAAGAGAGGGGTCCCAGGCATGACTCATCAGGGGAGGCGAGGGAAGGAGCTGCCCGCCGGCACCCATTAGAGCGCATGGCCTGCCAACCATCTGTGTTGGTGGTGGAGAGGGATGTGATGACGGTGGGAGGAATCAAGGTGAAACAGGCCATCTTGGACACCGACCAGCATAACGTGCTGATCGAGGCGCCTATGGCGAGGCTGCTGGGGCTGGATAGGAAAGATCGAGTGTTCTCGGAGGGGTACCTGCTCATGACGGCTGATGGAGGCGCGACAAAGTGGATGCCCAGGACAAAGAGCACGGTGGAGATCGTGATTCTCATAGGGCAGCAGGAAGAATGTATAGTGAGGATGCACTGCGGCATCTCCAAGTCGGGGGGTTTCGATCTGCTGCTGAGGGTTGAAAAACTGTACACCATCGGCACAACCATATGCATGTGGGAAGAGAAATTCATGTACCGTGTCACCTAGTGGGAGCACGGGGGCTCGCTGGCACAATTGCCAGTGAAGTTCATCCGACGGGAGCCCCGTGAGGCGTACCAGTCAGTGGAGAAGCCGCTGGGCATGCTGAACTGGAAGGAGATGGATCAGACGCCGGCGGCCAGGAAGCAATATGAGGAAATATGGGGGGCGAGTGACAATTAGAGGGAGCTGCAACTGAACTTAAGGGCATTCCAAAAGCCCATGTTGGTGCTGGAGCTGTATGGAGGGATTGCCACGGGGTTGGCGGCCCTCCTGAAGGCAGGGCATACCATCTCCACCTATCTCTACGTGGACAATGAAGGCAACGCAAATTTGATGGCGTGGCATCACATCAAGCTGCTGAAGGCGCGCTATCAAGTCCAGCTGATGGAAGGCGCGGCGGAGCGTGGGGCGGAATGGCTATGCCGAGGGGTGGAGGAGATCGATGAGGGCCTGATTGTTGAATGCGGGAAGATATACTTGGTGATTGCTGGGTGGGGATGATAGGGGTACTCGCGAACAGGTAAGGGGAAGGGCATGGAAGATGAAAGGAGCGGGCAGTTCCGAGAGTTGATGAGGGTGCTAAAGATGATCAAGAGGCGCCAAGGCGCGTTCACGTACATAATTGAAAACGTGGATATGACCGAGGACCCAAGGCCACTCGTGCAAGCCGCAAACGAGGAGATCACGGCAGAGCTGGGGGAAGGAGTGGCGTGGGATGCTGCTCAGAACGGGAGCCGCTCTCACCGCTCTAGACGGTACTGGCAGAACGTTGTGCCAGAAGCAGCACTTCGGTACCAACTGTCACGCATGGAAAGGCCAAAAGCCAGACTGGTGGCGGACATCTTGGAGCCTGGGCAACTAGCAGCACCCGTGACACACACCGATCACCCCGCGCAGTATCCGTGCAACAAGGTGGGGGAGCCACGTCAGGCGTGGCCAACGATGGTGGCGTTCGAGCGCGCGAGAGGCTTCATGGAGGTCAACGGAGTGGCGGGTCCAGGCATGGTGTTCGACCAAGCCTGGGGCGAATGGGAAGAGTCGACCACGCAGGAGAGAGAGTTGGCCATGGGATTCCTAGCGGGAGCGACAGCATGCCCGCAGATGACAGAGAAGGAGATGAGAGGGGCTTTGGGCAGGGCATTGGACCTCAATGCCCTGCACTGGCTCATCACCACCATGGGTAATCATCTGGAAAGGAAGTGGTTGGAGCGACGGATCGGCAAGGCTACCCAGATACGCCCACACACGAGGCTGGCGGCAGACAAGGAGATGGAAGCATGGACCATGCTGGGGGGATTGGAAGACATGGAGGAAAATCAGTGGTGAAGAGGCATGACAACGACAAGCGAGCTAGAGGGATGACAGGGAAGGCATCTCCGGCCGATATGCTGATGCAGCTGAGAGTGAGGAGGAGGAGGAAGAAGAAGAGGAAGTGGAAATGGAGGGAAGTGAAGATCAAGGGGGAGGAGGGATGCCAGAGGAATTTCATGACTCAGACTTCGACATGGATGGTGACTACTTCGACCCCCCAGACTGGCCGCCGATTGGTCCAGTGCACATGTCGCTAGACCTCACCCCAGAGGGAGCAGCAGCGGAGGCCGAAGGAGGCAGGAATGGGCAGCAGGAAGGGGTGGGGAAAGTTACCATCGGGGGGCAAGAGGTGGCTGGACCAGTGGCTCGACTGCCAGCATGGGACATAGGAGAAGGCTTGCAAGGGAGCCAGAGGGAGGGGGTGGATTGACCGCAGGCAGGACACCAGCGGACATTTGCGTACACCTTGAAGGAGTTGGGCTGCTGCAACCGTGCCACGATGTCATTGAACCTGACATGTCGTTGAGTCCGCAGGATCCAGAAGTGTGCCAGAAGAAGTGTTTAGAACTGCTGGAAGCAGGATTGATTTGACGTCGGAGTTGAGGTATGTGTTAGCAACAGTGGTGGCGTCAAGGATGGATCTTATGGGGTCCGTGCTATCCAGGAGGATGTGTGGCGACTACAGAGACCTGAACAAGGTCACCGTGCCGGAGCGCTACTCCACCCCCATGGTGGATGAAATCTTTGATCAGCTGGCGGGGGCGCGGGTGTTTCCTACACTTGACATGAGACAGGGCTTCAATCGGATCCCTATTGCGGAGGGGGATAAGGCAAAAACGGCGTTTCATGGGCCTTCCGAAGCATACGAGTGGAATCGCATGCCATTCGGCCTGAAGAACGCCTCGCTGCTATTCCAGAAGGTGATGGATGCCGTGCTGCGGGGGATCCAGGGGGAACTGTGATATATTGACGACGTCATCGTGTTCAGTGCAACGGCAGAAGAGCACGTGGAACGGCTGGCTGAGACCTTGGAGCGAATTCGGGCGGCGGGGTTAACTTGTCACCCCAAGAAGTGCCGGTTTGGTCATACGACCATCACCTACCTGTGATTCGAGGTGTCAGGGGGGAGACTGGCAATCCAGCAGGCAAAGGTGGAGGTGCTAGATCGTGTGGCGCAGCTCAAGGACAAGAGTGCACTACGTGCGCTGCTGGGGTTCCTCAACTACTATCGAAAGTTCGTGGAGAGCTCCAGCAGGAGACCAGCCCCACTAAACAAGCTGCTGCAGGAGGATCAGAAGTGGCAGTGGGGGGAGTCCCAGAGGGCAGAGCTGAAGGATCTGCTGGGGGCAGTGAAGAAGGGGCGGTGCTATAGCTGCCGCAGGCGGACAAGCCGTCCGTTCTCTATACAAACTGGAGCAGCGCGTGCATGGGGGCCATATTGAGTTAGCAGGAAGGAAGAGGAGAGAAGGTGGTGGCATTTGCAAGCCGATCATGTAACCCCGCGGAAGCAAACTATTCATCCTACAAAGGCGAGGGACCGGCAGCGGTGTGGGCTATGGGGCACTTCCGGGTTTACCTACAGGGCAGGCAGTTCACGTTAGTGACAGCCCTTCAGCCCCTGTTGTGGCTCATGCAAAACCAGTCCTTAACGGGGCGGAATGCACACTGGGCCATGAAATTGCAGGAATACGAGTTCGTCATTCGACACCGTCCAGGCAAAAGCATCCAACATATGGACGGATTGTCTCGGAACCCGCCGGTGGTGCCACTATTAGTGGCTTTGATGGCCATGACGCCTGACCCAGTGATCCCTTTGCGGAGGGAACAACAGGGGCACTGGATGTGTGGGAAGACCATGAGACGTTGGGGTGGCTACGTGGAGAGACCAGCGAAGGAGCAGTGGTATCGGCACGGGTGAGTTGCAGGGGGCAACACTACCGTTGGTACCAGAACCAAGTGCAGATCAGAACCAAGGATGGGTGGAAACGGGTGCCAGAGCCTAAGGAGCGGGAAGGAATCATTCAGGAGGTGCATAACAGGTTGGGGCACTACAGGCCCCTCAGAACTCAGCAGCTGCTGCAGATGGGATGGTGGCGGGCAGGCATGAGGAAAGAAGTTAAGGATTGGGTGGCACGGTGCCACGCCTGCGTCAGGAACCGAGTTTCGTTTGAGAGGAGCCAGGCTGAGCTGCAGCCCTTACCCATAGTGGGACTCGGGTACCGCTGGTCCATTGACCTGACGAGAGAGCTGCCTCTGACCAAAAGGGGACGCCGTTACATCGTGGTAATGGTCGAGCATGTAAGCAAGTGGGTGCAGGCTCGAGCCACCACCAACAAGACCGCCGTGGTGGTAGCAGAGGCCTTTGAAGAACAAGTGCTCACTCGATTCAGAGCCTGTGGAGAGGCACTCACGGATCAGGGGACTGAGTTCCAGGGGGAATTCGACGAGCTGCTCGCATCGTGTCTGATTCTGCACCGCACCACCTCACGCTCCCACCCGCAGCGATGGATTGACATACAAACGCTGAAATGGGGGCTGAGGGCCTACGGCGAGACCAAAAAGAGGGATTGGGACAAGCACCTTCATAGGGTGATGGCAGGGTACTAGTTCACCAAGCAGGCTGCTCTAAAGAACCTGACGCCATACCATCTGCTTTCGGGCGGGAAGCTACGCTACCAGTAGGAGCCCCGCGGGTGTTGACTGATGTGGTGACAGCAGGTACGTCGGGGAAATGGGCAGCACTGGCGGTGGCACGGGGAAACTATATACGTCGGCTGCTCCCGGCCGCCCTGGAGAATCTGCACGTGGCTCAGCTGCGGGACATCCACAGGTACAAGCAGAGGCAGGAGCAGCGAGCGGGAGGAGCACCAGCGGCGTTGAAGCAAGGGCGTATACATCTGCCGCCCCAGGAGGGACGGATTGGGTGTGGGGCTCTCTCAGCAGCGATGAACTGTGAATGAAGTGCGCGAGTCTGGAGTGTTAGTCCTGGAGAGTGAGACAGGAGTGAGGGCGGTCGATCATGTGACCAATGTGGCGCGTGCAGGGGCGGCAGGGGAACCATATGTTGGTCTCGTGACCCGGGCGAGGGCGGCTCAGGGCAACGGGAGAGCGTAATACCGATGGGAATCAGTGAGGAGTCCCAGGGAGGAGTAGTGGGAGGGAAGAGAGTAAGGATGCACCAATAAGAACCTATGAGGATCACGAGGCAGAATTGACTGGTAAAAGGAGATTAAGGGTGAGGGAGCATGGACAAAAGAGTAAGAGTAGAAGCAAGAGCAGCCTGGGGAGGAAGAGAGGAGGACAAGAGCATCTACCAACTGAATAAGGGATTTTCTGACAGCTGTCGCGTGATAAGGGGAATGAGAGGATGGGTGTACCTATTGTATATTTGTATATAGTCTTCAGGGAGCGAGTATCGAGGAAGGAGGATTAGAGAGGTGAGAGAGGCGGGGAACAAGGTAGCCGAAGGGTCGGCTGACCTGGCAACAAGGGAGGGAGGATGAGCTGGGAGGGAAGTACACCTGGATGTCGCTGCTTTTGCTTTGTGTGCGTGCGTGTGCTTGAGCATGCTCACTTTTTGGCAGGTTGGTTGCCCGAGCCAGCTAATATTACAAGCACGAGCTGGAGGCGTGTAGGAGGACGGCTAAGTGGCGGTGGGATGAGGACGGTGGGTTGACCCTTCGTCTTTGACAAAGGTCCTTCGTCCAGAAGCAAGGGTTGAGAGTAGATGTAGGCGGAGGATTGCTGGTTGTTATATGGGGGACGAACAACTGATTCTGTACTCCTCGTATGTTCTGTGCCAATCTTACGAAATTGCTTCATCCCAGGCTAGCGTGAGACCTCAGGCCAGTGCAAGAAGATGTAAGGTAGTGAAGGCAACGATAGGAGCTGTGAGTAAGCCGGGAGGACTTATCAGTGCGTAACATCGATGGGAATCAGTGAGGAGTCCCAAGGAGGAGTAGTGGGAGGGAAGAGAGTAAGGATGCACCAATGGGAACCTACGAGGAACACGAGGAAGGATTGACTGGTAAAAGGAGAGTAAGGGTGAGGGGGATTGGTCAGAAGAGTATGAGAGGAAGCAAGAGCAGCCTGGGGAGGGAGAGAGGAGGACAAGAGCAGATACCAACTAGGTAAGGGATTTTCCGACAGGGGTAGCGTGGGACACACCTGACGGGGCAAGACCAGGGGGCGGCGGGTGTACCGGAGGAGCGGGAGCGGGAGGAGGAGGGGGGGCGAGGAAATGGGGAGCGGGGGGGGGGGAACCGGGAGACCTCGACAGGGGTAGCGGGTGTAGTAGGACACAGAATCGTCAAACCGGACGTCACGAGAGTCGAGAAAACGGTGGAGGGGCCGGTGGTAAAACGCGAAGTCCGGGGCGTCCACCGGGAAACCAAGGAAGACACAGGGGAGGGCGCGAGCCGAGAGCTTGTGCGCAGAGGTGTTGCGGACATGCGCAAGGCAGCCCCAGACACGGAACTCCGACGCAAAACCAGGGGACCCGGTCCAAAGACTGGGGTCGGACTGATGATGAGGGTTTCTAAAAACGCGAGACAGATAATCAGGGAAGCTAAAAATGAAAAATCAGCCCTGCTCGTGACTATTCGCGTGATGCTACAGTAGAAGTACCATCATACCCCAGATATAACCGCATGTGCGCTTATAATAGAATGAGTTCTTTTAGGGGGCGCGACTCTAATTGAGTAAAAAGTACAAGTGCATGCACCTGTAATACGTTAATACAATCTGTTTTTTAACATACCAGAATGAAGCTCTCAATAAGATGAACACACCCGAATCACGCTCACGTGGGTTCGTGCATGAAAATCCGTCAGAAAACGGCCGCGACTCGCATTTCCACCGCACAGAGCCCAGAACTATCAAACATGCCAGCGCTGACTTGAAACAAGCCCTGCGGCCTAATCACAGAGTCATGTGCTGCAAGGCTGGTGAAATCCTCCCGAACCCCCTAGAAGAGGGTCGAATATTCCTTGACAGCGCAGCAAATTTCGGGGCCACAAATGGTCCTCTGCAGGTTCAGGCGAGGGTTTCCCGTCATTCATTGACGATGAACCCGAGCCGCCAACCTGACGGGGTCCCCTCCCTTTTCCCACTTGTGCACCATTTTCCTGCTTTTTTTTCTTCATTCTCTCCATCTCTCCCGCCTAGCTGCGGAGCCATGGCGGAATTCACAGGCATACACTTCCTCTTCAAGAAGCGTCCTAGGCCCGCGTATAGAATAACCGAAGATGGCTGGTATAGCTATGTCCCACCTAAACCCCCTGAGCCACCACAACCACCTGCGCCACCTGCACCCCCAGCTCCTCCTGCTCCTCCGGCGCCTCCCGCTCTCCTTGCTCCTCCGAATCTGCCTGGTCCAGCATACACGGGCAATTGGCCCTTCCTCACGCTCCTGCTGCCATCAGCGCTGGT